TTTCTTTCTTTCTTTCTTTCTTTCTTTCTTTCTTTCTTTCTTTCTTTCTTTCTTTCTTTCTTTCTTTTTTAATACAACCAAAGGAAGGCAAGGGAAACAAGTATCTCTTGTTCACCAGGCATGTTTGGTTTTCTTTCAAGTTTCTATGTTCCTGAAAGGGACATGGTCAGCCCCTTGGAGAGGGAATCACCTTGGCCACTTTTTCTCCTTCTAAATGTGATCACCCTTTGTCCTGGACGTTTTCATTTCAGGGCACCTGTAGCCTATTATTGGCTTGGGGACATCATTTATTCATTAACCTGCTTTTTAACATTTTTTTTAAATGATAGGATCCAAAGTTAGGTGCAAATGGATGAAAGTATCTGCCCCTTGAAGGTGATCTGTATCTTTTCACAACCCTTCCTCAATGTTTCACCAAACTAAATAAAAGATGAACAAGAATAATCTTTCTGGATAATTTCTACTGTGTTTCTTATATAATTTCTTCTGCCAGTCATTTTTCCCATGCCAACAACTACTTCTTGAGTTCATGTGAACTGTAGAACTAGAAAAGAGTCCTTGCTTGTTCTACGCATTTCCACATATGGAAAGTGAGTCTGTGGAGAGAAAAGCGAAGAAAGAACCTCTAGATAAACTAAGACAAAAGGCCATCTGCTCTAGGGAGAAAAGATCTCTTTTCCTCAGCAGTGAACTGTTTGCCTTTCAGTCTTTAGTTTCTCCCTCCCTGATTTATCTGAATTGCCACGTTTCTGCATCTGACGGGCATCTAGCTGACACTCTCCTACTGTGTCCAGACCTGGATCTGAGTAGGTCTGAAGATGCTAATTTCCATAGCTGCCCTCTAGTGCTCCTCTTTCATGTCTACAGTTCTTTCCTTCTCCAGATGCTGGCTATCAAGTATCTTGCTCACAACAAACCCCTTTCCACCATTGTGTGAAACATTTAATCCACTGAGAAGAACATTATTCCACCTGGGATAATGTTATATCGATATGGAAAGCATCATTTATACATTTTTATTCCTTTCAAAAAAAACCAATCCTGTTCATCATTAAAAATGAAAAAAATAAAAAGCTTCCAAGGGCAAGAACTCACTCATGATGTTAGACTAAATCATCAGCCTAATTTATACTGTCCTTAAAGGAAGCTGCAAGATTAATTTCTAGCTTGAATTGAAACCATTTTAGCATTTGGCCTTCTAGAAAAAGAAATGATTCATGTTCTACAAACTTAAATATAAAAGGATGAATATGAGGAAGTGACGAATATATAGTATCTGAGAGAGAAGCAATTTATATTAAAAAAAATTGACACATGGTTACTGAGACTTCTCAAGTAAGACGAGAGCAGTTTGCCAATGTACAGAACGGATTGAGTTGGAGTTGGCTGAGTTGGCTCACTTCTGGAACCTCAGCTGAGTACAGTGGTTAAAATAAATTACAGTTAAAGTTTGTCTGGCAGAACCACATTTTATGCTGAAGAAGTCAGTGTGATTAAACTGTCATCCTGTGGAGTAGAGTTCAAGACCAAAATATCTCTTAATTTGCAGCATGTTCTCTTCCATTGGCGACTCCCTCTTTCATTTTAAATGTCCTCTGGTTTTGAAGAACTGAAGGCCTGCTTGAACTCATCACAGATTAGCTCTCTGAGGAAATCCAACATAGATTAGACCATTTCTAATTCAACCACACTCTTTTCATGATTCCTCTGCCATGTCACTATCTTAGGTTCAGTTCTCAAATAGTTTAAATAAAGTTCCTAATCCCTGTGGGGCTGGTGTAAGAGGCAGACAGAGAAGGGTGTTGGAGTCTTCCTCCCTCCGGAAACAGCCTGGAGAGGGATTAAGCTGGATATCTCCAGACTTCCCACACTGCTTTAGGAAGTAACTGAGTTGGCTCTGAGACCTGAAACTGGACGAGGTTCAAGACTCAACTAAAATAGAAGAATTTCGTGAGAATAAGGAATAATATTCCTGATAATGTTCATTCTCTCTTTTCTTTGAAAGAGTTAATGCATAGGAGGCTCTAAGCAGCGTTTAGTACATGAATAATATATAGACTCTTATGATTATACTCACCCTCTTCTTCTCCTCCTTTCATCCTTCCCTCCTTCTTTCTCTCTCCTCCCTTTCTCCCTCCCTTTCTTCCCTTCTTATTCCCTTCCTTTCTCTTTTCTCTTTCCTTTTTTGCTTCTTTTTAGAAATACATTGATTAAAATAGAATTACAGCACGTACCCTCCCAATTTTCTTCCCTCCAGCCCCTCCCAGCTCCTCTTCCCCAAACCTCTCCCATGCTCCGTAACAAGCTGATAACCTCTTTTTCTTTGCTGTTTACTGTTATAGACGTACACATATATGTGCATATGCATGCGAGTTATCTGTCTTCCTTCCCACCCTCCCCCCGACAGTCTTGCTGTCATCTACCCAGGCCTTGAATTCCCTGTGTAGATTCAGGTTGGTTTCAAACTCCTGATCCTCTGGCCTCAGCCACCTGCGTGCTGGGTTAACATGAGTGTACCAGCATAGCTTCCTGTTCTCTGACTGTTCTTGGGCCTTGGAGATTTTACTCCCAGTGTGCTGAATTTGACCAACCCCACTTGCTGTCTGGCCCTACCCATAGTCCTGACTCTTCATCTTCAGTTATGCCCTCCCTGAATCCCTTCCGAGTTAAAGGGCTTCCCTATAGCTGACTTCTCAGAAGCTTTTGGATTATGACAGGCTCAATTAAGCAGTAATTGGTAACTTTAGTTCAAGATAAAATTAGATCAGCCTCCAGGCTTAGGAGTGGATAATATAAGCACATGGCTCTCTTAGCCATCTATTTCGTTCATCTCTCTGTCCTTCCATTCTGAACTGATTAGATGGATGCAGTAACCAAGAACAGAAACAAGCCATGGGATGGGGGGAGCATGTAAACCAACTTAGTTTTTAAGTCCTTCTTTTGAACCATATACATTGGGGAGAAATCATAGTGGGAGCTAATGTGCACTGTAGGCTTTCTATAGTAAGGCTCCATGCCAAGAACATCACTACAGCATTCACTGCAGTGATGCACACAACACGCTCGCAAGCTACATCTCATCACCACTCTCAAGTTTTACAAAGTTGAAAGCTGAAGATTAGAGGTTAAGTGACTTGCCCGTGTCCAGGGAAGTGGCTCTCCACCTATGCTAAGTGACAGAAAGCTATAATCCAAGAGGTGCCCTTTGCAAAGACTCTGAGGTGAAATGTGTTCCTGGAGTTAAGTAAGGCAGCTGTCCTGTCCACAGCATCAAGGGGAGAAACCTGAGCCCCAGGGTGGGTGTGCTTGACTTCAAGCCCTAGGCTCATCATGGCTGAGCTTTGCTGAGAGAAACATTTGTGTTTTAGAAACAGGATGTTTCCTTTCACCAAATGATTAGATAAATGGGGATATATAATATTGCAGTAGCAGGTTTGTGGGTATTTTTTTTTAATGTATGCAACAGTTAATACAAAGGATTCAGGGTCTTTTAGCAAAGAGACACTTGAAGGCTTCAGGACACTAAATGGTAGAAAAGTGTTCCCGTTGTAGGATAAAGATCAGTGTCTGCCACCAAAGAATTCATCCATGGGTGATCCGGGCTTATGTTTATACAGGATTTATAAGAGTAATGCCTTGTCCCTCTGGAGAAGTCAATGACATCATGCATTTCAATAGCTTGTGTTTATAATAAAAATAGAAAATTTGAATGCAAAGCAAGATGCGGTTTAAGCTATGGTATATCTAACTAAATGGAGCTGTGTGTTACCACCAAATAAAACATGACAATACGTGAAAAAAGACTGGAAGGGAATACATGAGTACTCACACACACGCGTGTGTATGCGTGTGCATACACACACAATACAAATAAACAATGATAATTATAGTTGCTGTACTAAAGCTTGTAATCTATTTTGTTGTCTCTGCTCTTATCAGTTCTGTGATGTGAGTCTAGCATGTATAGGTTTTAAAAGTGAAAGCAAAAATGTCAAAATAAATTTTGTGTATGAGAGAAATACAATCTAACTGTAGGCACTTATTTAGTAATCCAATTTCTCTCTATAAACGAGGAAAAAAATCCAATCAGAATTGCTCATTTCATAGACTCATCCCACAGTGAAGGCTTTAGCAATTGAGGCTGTATAATGGCCAACTTTTCTGAAGATCACCGCTTCCATAAGCACATTATAAGCTGTAAATTATAGTAACTCATAAAATGCAGAAGAATACAACTGTATTTACCTTCCTAAGTCTCTGTTAAAAAAATATTGGTGATTAGTTTGCACCCAATTTTTAACTTTGCTTTTTAACCTGTGCTCCATCCAACATTCCTTGTTGTTTCATTAAGGTACTACGTTGCAAGTATTTTATTGGAGAGTCACAGCCAGTCGTATTCTAAACAAAATGACCTGCCAAAAAATATACCTCATATCTCAGCCCATCTGGGCTGTGATAACAGAGTACCACACAATGGGCAGCACATAAATAACAGCTTTGTTCTTCACAGTTGGAGAGGTTGGGAAGTTCAGGGTCAGGGTTCTGGCAAATTCAGCAACCACCGACGGCCTGTTTCCTGACTCAGACGATGTGTCAGCGTGCTGGCGAGTTTCATGTCAACTTGACACAAGCTAGAGTCATCTGAGAAGATGGACTCTCGATTGAGGAAATGCCCCCATACGACTTGCCTGTAAGTAAGTGTATTTTACTTGTTTCAAAAAAAAAAGAAAGAAAGAAAGAAAGAAAGAAAGAAAGAAAGAAAGAAAGAAAGAAAGAA